ATAATTCCGTAAATCAGTATGCTTGAGATAATGGGATATGAGCTTGTAAGCATAAAAGATTAAGTTACGAAATCACATGTCCTAACCTTTCAGTCTAGGGTCATTAACGTTCAACCCTCCAAGCAAAGGCAAAACTGGGGTTGCGTAATATTTCATGTCGGATTTGGTTGATAAGCTTACTCTAACATGTTGTACGAATGTGAGTAAAGTTAAAACCACCCCCGAGCAGACAAATTAAGTCGCCTTCTTTTTGAGGGCGGCTCAACACCCTCTCTCTCTTTCAATCTATCAATCAAGCATAAGTAGTTCCTACTCAACTTTATACCACCGTTTCTCACATTTAGCGCATTTTCTAAGCTATTAATTTCAACAGCCTCTCTTATTTCCTTCTCACCACAGACGTACCATAATCAGCAAGCCTACTAGTTTGAGACCATTCTATTTCATGTCCAGTTTCTACCATGTGTTCGGCTACTTCTGACCGTTGCACCCAGCTTCCTTTACAAGCATGTTTGAGTTCTCCCGATCTTTGTCGAATAGGTCGGCATGTCTCACCAACATAGACCGACCTATTCGACAAAGCTTGGGAGAACACAAAAATGTTTGTAAAGGAAACTGGGTCCGACGGTCAGAAGTGGCCGAACACATGATAGAAACTGGACATGAAATAGAATGGTCTCAAATTAGTAGGTCTGCTGATTATGGTACGTCTGTTGTTAAAGGAAAAATAAGAGAGGATATTGAAATTAACAGCTTAGGAAATACGTTGAATGTGAGGAACGGTGGTAGAAAGTTGATTAGGAACTACTAAACTCTTTCTTCGTATCTTTAAATATTACTTGGTGGATGAAAGGGATGTAGCTCTGTTGGTTAATTGTGAAAGCAATATATAGTAAAAGATCTTGCATTATTATTTTATCAATAAGAAGGAGTAATGATTTAAAAATTGTCTATGTTCAATACCATTACATTGATGAACTCTGCGTATGGCATAATTCATAAAGTGAAAGCTTAATTTTCATTAAATGTGATAAGCTTCTCTGAACGCATTCCGCAGTTTCATTGTATGAAGGCGATATCAGTTATTCCTTTAATAGATAATCTCACAACCCGAGCGTATGCACGTATATCATGTGAGACGAAAGCCTGTTTACATCGAATCAAATTGCGAAAAATATTAATTTTTAATTGTAATGTGATCACTTTGAATAGATGATGCTAGGAATCACCTATTACTGCATAAAGGATGTAATCATATTGATAAAATCTATTTGCTCTTCTTAAGTCACTACTTTCCTCTAAACGTTAAAAGGGTCCAGAGTTCACTTGTGCACAATTATCGGATTTCATTTTAGATACATATATGCGCATTTAGTATCGGATGTATATTTTATTTTACTTAAGGTTATTCAAAGGAACTTTTGTGCCAAATTCTAGTTGCTCACTAAATCAATTATCTTATGTAGAGTATATGCTTTATATATGTCACAGTTGCTGTTATTTTTGGTAAAAATATTTGGTCAGCAGTTAAAGTACTTTTTTTAAATTTTAATCAGGTCTTGCTTATATTGGTTGATTGATACTCACATTCTTTGCTAATCATTCATCCCAATTCGATCTTCTCTGACCCAGAATGAATAAAAGGCTCGATTTTGTAATTTAAATTCCCAAAAGTTTAGTAGGTTTATCTCTTTGTTATTAAGGTTCCCTGCACTTTTCGTACGTCTTACGCTTTATTTTCATTTAAGAAGACTAAACGTCAGCAGCTTGATTCAATTTTATCTAGATTTAGCTCAAACTTTCTATTTTTCTTCTGATAGTTAAGAAAGAATTAGGCCAAAAGCCATTAAGTACTCTTTAATTATTTTCAAAATTATATGGATTATGTTAAAAATAGTATGAATTCCTGACAAGAGGGAATTCCCCGAAAAATCCAGGCTTTCTCTTCCTCCATTTGGTGCTAGATAATAAACCAATCCGATAATCTTCATCCGAGCACTAGTAAAACATTACGGTCAGACATGATTAGTTAATTTCTTTGATTTATCCATCAACCTTGAGAGAATATATCCAAGTATATAATACACTTAATCATATTTTGAAACATATCTTTTGCCATTTATATGGTATAAGTGTATTAAAATAATAGATGCCCAAATTCCTAAGTGCTGATAGGCGTATAATTAATTATGACTAGTTCCCTGTAAGAAAAAGAGCTCTTCTACAAGCTCAACTATACTCTAAGGCACTTATTCGCATACATTTCTCTGCTAAACATCAGATGAGTTAGCATTTATAATTCAAGATAACTTTTTTAGTAGAACCTAATGATATATATTCCACATGATGCAAATTTCTTGGTAATTAGATAAACGACTTTTTATGACTAGCAGACATATAAACTTAATCATAATATAATGGTCAATCTATACTTACCAATGCAGTGTATTAACCTAGTTAGAATCTGCAATATTTATAAATTGGCTCAATAGATAGTCTTACTCACTACTGCTATATTGTCATCCCGCTTTTTTGAGTTGGTCCCATCTAGTGGGATATTTTCTTGTTTACCGTATCTTTTGAAATCCAGATCAAAGTTCCAATTATGCTTTTGCTCTTGTTCCTTAGCATTTTTGCTTGAGTTTAATAAAAATTGATTATTTTTCCATGTCTCTTTAATATCCTGAAGAATCTCAAGCCTCCGAGCTTCCTTTAATGCCTGCTCTAGCGGCTGACTGATATGACTCAGCTCAGACTCACAATTAATTTCAGATCCAGCCACATCAAAACTTGAAAGGGAATAATCAGCGCTTTCTGCGCCAGAGCCAGTTGCTGCCCTCGACCCAGAACTATCGGAAATTGAAACTTTTGCATGGCTCCTCAAAGAGCCATTTGTTCTCTCGCCCCCTTGTGTCCTTCTGACACTTGTGCTTGTGGCCAGCACCTGCTTATGTTCTTGAGTTCGAAGTCGACGGTTCTGCTTATGTCCATTACAAACGAGAGGCAATGTGTTTCGACCATTTCCCAGCATCTGGATAGACAGAGCTTTTAAATAAGTATCTAAATTAGTCGCATCGGATTTAGAATTGGCCTTCTCTTTCTCTCCAGTAGGTTTAACATCTGCTAAAGTCTCCGGAAGCAGTAAAGACTTATTCAACACATTCCTATCCAAGTTTATTCGAGCAATTAACTGGAGTATATCCATTTCACTCAATGATGCAGCAGAACCTTTATACAAGCCGTGCAACATGCTTTGCTTTTGCTGTAGACCAGGTGTGACACTTTTCGATTTACAAGGCGGGCCGTAATCATGTTGTGCAATATCGGATGTTTCCTTGGATTCCTGCCTGCCTGCCGTGAAGCTCGATATTGGTGGACATTGCCAGTTCTGAACTGTCTCGACATCACATCCAAGGCTGTTTCGAATACCTTTTGTAGCCAGGCCATTGTATGGGGAGTTAAGGCGGATTTGTACGCTTCCGCTCCTCTCAGAACGGTCATTGATGCCGACAGTTCCTTCGAATGCAGCTTCTCCAGTTCCTTCTTTGAGTGACCTATAGATAGGAGTCACCGGGAGGAAGGCGGTTGGCAGAAAAGTAGAAGTAGTATTGTTGCTGGTAGATGTCTGAGACAGGCTTGTCTGTGGCACTGTAAAATAACCATAAGATAGCTTTGCAGCCTGCCCACCGTTTGACTCAACTTCACTGGGGGAAAGTACAAAACTGGTTATTGGGCAAGGCTGTCTGCAGCAATGTACAGGATGGAGTTCACGATAAACGCTCTCAGAAGTGATAAGACCTGTGGGCGACCGCAGTAGACGTCTGTCAGCCAGATTGTCTGAAACGGTAGCCGCCGACGCTATACTTTCGGCTGTCAAGTAGCCGTCTGAGTGCCCCACAGTCGCTACCTGCCTCACTCCCGACGAGTCACTGCCCGAGGTCAGAGGTCGAATGCAACCCGTGCTGCGCCACACAGCCAAGCCACGTCGCCCACACAAATAGACAATGATGCCAAGGAGGACAAGAATGATAGCACATATTAGGGCCACTATCGCGACCAGGATGGCTCCAGCACCAGATGGAGGATTATTGCTGCTTTGTCCACCATTGTCACGCAGTCCCATAAGGCTTTCACTGCCTACGACTTTACCGCTATCGGAGCTATACAGTTTTCCGGTGTTCATCTGAGGTGACGAGGAGGCGGAAGAAGCGACAAATGTTGCTGGATGCGTTCCGATCCTTCCCATATATCGTCCACTTTTCGGTCGATTTCTTGGGGCAGTATCGGTAATCTGATAGAAAAAGAAATTTATCAAATATTTAGAATTAAATTCTGTTAGTCAGCTAATAAGACACCATTTCTGTGAATCGTACAATTATTAACAGAACACAGGGAGCAGTATACTTCCTATTATTTGCCATGCAGTTTTCAGGGATATTTTAGAGTGTATTATATTCACAAAGCGAGATTTGGGCAAGTTTTGGATAAACTATCGCTTCGTTAATAGTATGAGAAAAAATGTAAATACTAGCAGGATAAAACTTAAGTTAAAGAAAAATATACAGGTATGTCTGATGCTAAATTCTTTAGTTTATCAAGAGGTATACTACTAAATTTGTTGACAGAAAACTGA